AACATACTATACTATGACTTTTTTAACACACTATACTGTGACTTTTTTAACATACTATACTATGCCTTTTTTATTGTATAGGCTACTATGGGTTTTTTTTAACATACTATGCTATGACTTTTTTTTAACATAATATACTATGACTTTTTAACACACTATACTATGATTTTTTAACATACTATAGTATGACTTTTTTTAACATACTATACATAACTTTATTTTACATATCATGCTGTGACTTTTTTACAAACTATACTATGCCTTTTTTGAACATACTATATTATGACTTTTTGTTTTTTAACATACTATACTATGACTTTTTTAACATGCTATACTATGACTATATATGCTATACTAAGGAAGAAAGTATTAAAAAGCCTTTATTGTAGTGGCTAAATCATTAAAACAGCCAACATGTTAAAACCAACTTTACAACTTCACCATGACTTTTTTTTATAACATAACTATACTATGATTTTTTATAACATACCATAGCATGACTTTTACAACATACTATCTAATGACTAATGACTAATAATATCTTAACATCCTAATAGATTCTTTACTTCATTTAAGTGATGGAATGAGCAGGTACAGAATATAAACATGTTTTTATGTTGTGATATATGTATTTTTTTGCCTAACTTATATTTAACTATTTAACAAAACATTTAAGACCAAATCTTTGTCCCAGATTTTGATGCCAGTAGTTATTACATCCATCTGACCTCTTGTCATCCTCCTGTAGGGCACATCTACCCACGCCTCTTCCACCCACTTGGCTGTCCTAGATGACCTTGATGAGCCAGTCAGAACTCACCATGGCCATCCCACCTCCACCAGGAGTAAGGCCAGTAGTGTCCACAGCAAGGCCAGCTACCACGGCAGCCTGCGCCGCACTCGTGACGACAGGTAGAGCGGGAAATCCATGACTTCCTGTTTCTCTGTCAAAAGTTGTGAATGAGGTCAAACTAAGGATTTCTCTCCTTCCCTCTGCTTCCTCAGGAGTGATACTATGGTTCACCGAGGTACAGAGGAGTGCAGTTTCCATGGCAGCATGCCACGTCTCGACCACCCGCTCTCCGCTCACGGCAGCCTCCATCAGATAGACAGCAACTCAAGGCATGGCAGCCAGCGAGACGAATCTGAGGCCCCACCTACACTCATCACCTACGGAACAACAGGAAGTGACAGCCAAGCTGCAGAGAATGACGGCACCAGCGCCTGAGAAGAGGCGATTATTATAAAGATGCTGTCGATGCCTTTTAAAGGAAGATTTGCCCTGTGCTGATACACACCCGTCTGTTTAGTGTGTAGGAGTTTCCCTTGAAGGTGGAGAATGTACCAGTGAGTGCTGTGGTGCTGATTATTGCCGTCAGTTCCTTGCTGATCATTTGTTAGCAGTGTGGCTAACACAGATCAGTCACTGAACTTGACTGATCTTGCATAGATTCAGTTTAGTGTCACTGTTAGCTGGACAAGTTTGTTTACGTAACAGTTTGAATTTACACAGCAGATGTCCCTTGAATACTTGTCAGGCTGAGCCAACAACACCTCCATCAGTGATGCTGACATTATTCAGGGATCATTTTGGTTGTACCCAGGTAAACCAGAGCTGGCACTGAATAGGAAACACTAAAAAAAGTGGGATGTCATCAGACTTACAAGAACACTTAGCATTATTTCCAAAACATGATCTGTCACCATCTTGCAGGACCTACATGAATATTATTAAATATGTGAACACTGCCGAGTATTGCTTTTGTAACACTCCTAACTGGTTTGCCTACTCTCACATAAAAGTTGACTTACTGAAGTCAGTCTGTACTAAGACTTGATTATTCCCGACCTGTTTGCTCTGGACTGCAGCTCTTAATGAACGATGTTTATCTTTGTGTGGCTTCAGCTACTGATACATATGGGCTTAATGTAAAATCGTGGACCTCTCTGTGGTTTAGTGAAATATTTTTATACTGTGAAAATTGTCCATCTGCTGCTGAAAGCTTCATTACATGAGTGTGTATGAGAGAGCATGAGTGAATGAGAGATAGACACCAACTGTCATATTTTTTTTCAAATTTCAATTCTCGCCTCCAGTGGTGACCGGAGAGAGACTAATGGAGGGAGCTGACAGATCTTTGTAACCCAGAATGTAGAAGGGTTGTTTCAGAGTCAGAAAGACGGTGATATAATACAGACATGGTCGGGTGAAGTGAGCTGGAATAATGTGTGTGCACTTAGACACACACTCACATTTATTCCAGCTCATGCTGCTTTTTGGCCTCCCCAAGTCATCTTAGCACTGACATGTCTGCATTAGCTTGATAGAGTTAGAAGAGTAGTTGTCCAAAAAATAAAAGAAGCAGCGTACTGATCAAAGGTGGCTGATATCCAGAGTATTGTAACCCAAATTTAGAAAGTCCCCTGGCTGCGATGACTGGAGTGCAGCTTAAAAATGAAATCAACTATTCTGAAATCTATCACATACACGAGGCTGAAAGGTTGTTTTTGAGAGCTGAGTGCTTTTTTTCTAATGTAATTTTCACCACTGTACTTGATAATGTACTTTAACTGCTATTGTACATGCTCTTTGCTGGTGTTTGTTTGTTTGTTTTGTTGTTCAGACATAGAACTGAGACTTACCCAAAGAGGTGCAGATAACTGGCAGTGATACTGTAGGAAAAAAAAAAGTTTGCTAATAGCGCATTGCTACATTTTCTCTGACATTATTTTACGTTTAAGTAAATGTTACAGGAGGTGTATAGTGTAAATGTTTTTCTATAATTTGTGTTTTGTTCCCTTGAGACCCAATTAACCTACCTCACCTGTACCCTCAGCCTTCTCTGTACCTGTGGGCGCACACACACACATTTACATTATTAGGTGCTTTATGTAAAGCAAAAAAAAAACCTCATGAACTCAACATGAATATTTCTGAACTTATGTAAAATATAAAAATCAAACACACTTAATTGACTCACTCATGGTTTCTGCCTTCAACACACACACACTCATCAGTAGGCTATCTGTCGCTGTCTGTCCGTCCTTCCCACAGCTGGCTTTGTGTTTTTCCAGTCTACCTCTTCAGTTCAACTCTCTGGCCTTTTACTGCTGCCTCTCTCCTCCTGTCTGTCTCCACCTGTCATGACCAACCACCTACTGTCAGCGTACCTGCCTGCCTCTCTGTTGTACATATTGTCTGTTCTATTTGATGACTAATCTGCCTCACATCTGCCTTCTGCCTCTCCTCCTGTAAATGGGCCCACGCTTATCTTTTTCTGGACCTACAGCAACTGTCTGTATTCTTTCGATTCACGACTGCTTATTAACATTAACCGTTGTGCTTTTACCTCTGAATTGGACAAAACGAGAGATGCTGTGTCAGACACCGTCATTGAACTCAAGAGGAAATCTTATTAAATATCTCATTCTTGTTAGTTCACGGCAGTCTGTGATCATTAATATTAACACCCCCCCCCCATTGAGACATGAGGAAGAAGAGCTCTCCTTGCTCCCCAGTTTCTGATGTCATGCTGTGATACAGCTTCAGAGTGAACCGCAGTCGCTTGAAAATATGACACGTTATCAACGATGGTTAAAAAATATAATATTGTGAATTTTGAAACTTGAGTTGTATTTGCCTTTTAATTTATTTGCAGTTTGGGACTGTAATGACTTCTTTTACATGCAGTCTAATAAACTTTTTATAGACTAATGTGCTCTTGTTATTCTGTTAATACTGAACTTGTGTCCTTATTCTTACTGACTGGTGGTCACTTAATTTATTTGATAAATTAAACTACAGTGCACAAATGTGCACACAATCACCTGACTTTTTTCCATTGCGGCTCTGAAGAGGAAGGCAAGAACAGGGAATGACATGTAAATGCTACTAATATCCCATTTTCACACTGATACACATGATGAAAATACATAAAAATAACAGTGTCATACAGTGATAAAATAAAAACACTCAAATTCAGAAACCAGACCAGAAACTGAGAACTGTCCTACAATAGACTAACTTATTCAGCGTCCCTTTTTTTCACCATTTTTTTATATTCAGAATATGCAGATTTAATTTCACTTGGGAATTTACTCCACTCCTCCCCCCTAGAGAAAATGTGCTTCTTCCTACTTTACTTTTTAGACTGGGTTGTTTCAGGTAAGACACACTAGCCCTCAGGCCATGACAGTTCCAAACACACCGGTAAAATAATTTGGACATAGACCTTGTACAGTCTTGTAAACCATATTATGCTTTAACTGTTAAATTCTACCTTTAACAGGGAGCCAGTTCAATTCTTTAAAAATAATATGTATTTTGATTGAAATGGTTAAGACATCTGAATACCAAATTATTTACAGAAACTAGAATTATATCCTATTAGACATTTGTGTGAAGTTTTGTCATAATTAGCATAGGAATTATTGAGTTACAGCCAAAAACATGTTTGGTGAGGTCACGCTGACCTTGACCTTCAACCACCAAATTCTAATCTAAAGTTTATTCTTCAGTCCACAGTACAAGTGGATGGTTGTGTCAAATTTGAAGGAATTCCCAGAAGATGTTCTTGAAATATTGCGTTCGCGAGAATGAGATGGATGTAGGGTCATGGTGACCTTGATCTTTGACCAGTGACCACCAAAATCTATCAGGTCATCATTAAGTCCAAGTGGCCAGTAGTGCCAAGGTTGAAGAAATTATGTTGAGGTGTTCTTGAGATATCACAATCGCAAGAACGGGATGGACAACTCGAAAACGTAATGCCTCTAGCGACGGCTGTCGCCTGCATGGAGGCATATAAAGTAACTATTAGTAAAAAAGAAATCCAATTACATCAAATGACAAATCTGTATCTTGACATCATTTTATGAATCTTGCAAATATCAGTAACATGTAAACGTTCAGTTCAGTGACCACATTTGGAAACAACTACTTAGAAAGGGCAGCATCTTCACCTTACACACACACCTCACACCTCACATTGGAAATGTCTGCTGCAGTGTTTTAAAGGAAAGAATGAACAGAGACATTCATAAGACTTTGTAAGAAATCTGTAAACATGTAACTCAGTCAAGACCAGATTCCCGATCGCTCTCGTTTGCGGCGGACGATGGCGGCTACATCTTGTTTGAGTGTGGAGACGCTCTGTTCCAGCTGCTCGGAAAAGTCCCTCAGCAGACGACTCTGCTCGTCCACAAACAGTCTGAGCCCCAGCAGGTCGGACTCCTCCTGGAAACAACAGGAACACATAACCTCAAAACTAACATCAGCAGTTTACCGCAAACATGTACTGTATGCTCTAGGGCTACCACCTCTACCACCACCAGGGTCTAGACATGGATACGTACACTGGGCCTGTGTCTGCGTAGGCGTTGCAGCTGACCCCTGACTGAGGTCATGCTGTGGTAGAAAACTTTGAGAGCACGAGCAAACTCTGCATCACAGCTGGGACGCACCGATCGACCTCGCACACTCTCCCCACCTAACACACAGACGGAGGAAGGTGTCATATAATCTTACTTTTTATATTTCATGAGTATGAATATTTTTCCATCCAAAGTGTATGACTCTGAACTGTCATATCTCAGTTACTGTTCCTGGCTGCACTGAGTTGTTCTCTCAGACTGTGATTCTCTTTTCTCAGTGATGCATTAACACTCCTCAGCTCCTCCAAGTCCTGCTGAAGAACTCTGACTGAACAGCTGAGCTCTGTGGAGTCTACAGGCTGCAACACACACACACACACACACACTCATTTATATGAGCACAGTTATTGAAATTTTTGCATTATGATTGTTGTTGCTTGAAATTTCTCATTAAAGGAACCCAAAATCAAAAGTGCTGAGTGTTGGCAAGGTCGGTCGTAGAGATGTCTGCCTTCTCTCACGTTAATGGAACTAAATGGCGCTCAGCTTGTGGTGCCCAAAGTGCCCAAAAAATATGTTACAAAAAGTACAGTTTCATGCTTGAAGTGCTGGACATTGGGCTTCCTTTCAGACCATTTGCATTTATGGATAAAAACTTTACATTTAAAATGAGAAGGTTCAAAATAAAGACATGATCGCTGTCCAGATAATTCTTTCCATAATAAAAAATAACATTTCTTTTTTGTTCCACGCAACATTTCAGAAACATGTTCAACAAGAATACATAATGTACTGTAATAAACTCAGTGTTAAACTCACTGCCATGTCTGTTGTGCCTGCCTCTTCAATGATGAAGATACCCTCTGTAGTCATCCTCACTCCCTCCAGAGATGAGATCAGGTCAGTACAACCCTCTGGAACAGAAAGCCAACACGCATCGGCAGCTTTAACGATACCTACTGTTTATTTTGTCAGTTGTACATTTTTAGCACTGACGTGAACATGATAATAATGAGATGTGTCTGACAGGGAGCCGCTCTAATGAGTCTGAGGGAGCATCAGACTGGGTGGTAATATCTGATTACTTTCATTTTGAGCTGTTGCTAGGACAGGAGATCATTTACAGCAGTGTGAAATAAAGTATTCATAACTATGTACTAAATACTACTATATAGCATACTGATTTTACATGCACTGTTTGTAGCAAATATTTACTGAAATCCATGAGATCAAGGCCTCCAGATTTTTTTCTTGTCCAATCATGCGTCCATCTCTTCATCCTCACCTTGAAGGCCCCAGAGCTCCAGCACTACAGCGCTGCTCTGCAGGTAGTCCAGCAGACGTTGGGAGGTGTGGAGGGAGGCAAAATGAACTCTGTGATCCAGCAGAGGATTGACATTATGCCATACAGCCGGAGTGTAGAGAGGCTGACTGCAGTCAAACAACCTGAAACTGAGTGAGTGGAGGAGAATGAAGGAGAACAAAGAACAGTGTCTCACTTCTGGATGTGTGAAGTCAGAAGACAGTTATTTTCCAAAACTCTATCATGACATTACTGTACTAAAAATGCCACAGAAAACAGAAAAAAAAAATCTATGCTAAATTCACTGGTGACCCCCGACATGGTCCCTGTGCATGTTCTGCTTTTTTAATGACATAATATACTATGACTTTTTTATGACTTCTTTTATTACATATATAAAATACTAAATTCATTGATGACCCCTGTTCCCAATCTTGACCTCCAGTTCCTGGGCCATAATTCACTGTAGGTATTCTCTGTATCATCCCTGCACTTCCATGTCTCCACATGTAGCCACATATGCCTCACCCAATTTGGACCCCTCTGTTGCGGGCCTCTCTGATCCAGCACAGGCCACAGCACTGTTCCAGGACCAGCTGGAAGTCCAGTCGTCGACCCAGTAACTCAGACGGGTCGATCAGAATGTCGTCTTCACCCAGAGGGCTGAAAGGTGAGAGATATTATTTACTAATGTATCTCTATGTGCTTATTAGGATTATTCACATTGTGTGTGTGTCATACAGTCCCGTGGAGCTGCAGGGAACCAGCTGTGCTTGTAGAATGGCCTCCTCTGTGCCCTCTGACCCCAGCACCTGCACACAGAGATTATCAACTGTGGTAGAAATAAATATTAAATATGAAGAAATGTGTGGTTTGTGTATTGTCAGAGTCTGGTAATTTGGAAGGCCTCAGTCTGTCACACTTGGCATACTTTATATGAGGAGGCTCAGGGTGTCTGGAGGGTAAAATAAGAAGAAGACCTTCACTAGTCTGGACCGAGGGTTACTCAACATTGTTTTGTCTCCCCCCTGGTAGCCTGATTATACATGTATGATGTAGGATACCCTGTATGAGGGTGAGTGAATGTAATGTTAATTTAAGTTTTTGGTATGACTATGTCTATGCATGCTGTACCAAGATGCTGTAATAAACTAATATATTCAATTCATGACAACTGAAGCTCATGAAGTTATTCTTTTATTCATCAAAGGGAAGACTGACCTTCCCTTGACATCATCAGCCAAATACCACTCTGTGTTCACCTCTCAGTACCATCCAACAATACTGTCAGATGTGGAGGTGTGTGTGTATATGTAGTGTGTGTGTGTACCTCGAGTTGCTCTTCCAGAGGGATGCGGAAGGCCAAAGACTGCAGCCAGAGGTGAGCAGTGCCCAGGAGCAGAGGCTCCACAGGATCCCAGAACGGGTCTTTGTCTCTGGGTAATGCAACTGTAGAAAGCCCCTCGACTCTCTGACGGCAAGAACCAAAAGACAGATCAACATTTTTAGGATTGCTGATTATCTACAACATCAAAGAAGGGACAGCAAAAACAGACACACAAATACATTTCTGTTAATTTGTAAAAAGTCTCTTTGCAACATTTTGAAAAACTTGAGCAATGTTCTATTTATTGAATTACACTGTCTCTGCTCCTCTCAGCCTGGTGCTGCTGGTAGGCTTCCTCCATCAGGAATTTACGGTTCACAAACTTGGCCTTGGACCACATCCACACCTGGGGAGGAAGTGTGACAGTAGTTTAGACAAAGAATCCAACTGAAATTATAGCAAGATAATGAGCTGGGGTGCATTAAGATACATTCAGACAGATGGACTGACCTGTTTTCTTCCCACAGAGGTGACTCGGACAACAATCTCCTTCTCCAGATCATGTCCTTTTGGATCCGACAGTGCCAGATTCTTGATCTCCAACTTAAACTCCACCCCCTGCAAACATGGCAGATGATAAACTGCATATGTTTATTAAAGGTCCAGTGTGTAGGATTTAGGGGGACATATTGGCAGAAAAGATATATCATAA